GGGGAATATGCCATATTAAAGGGACGTAAGTAGAAAGTTTGGAAAGAACTACTTAAATAGAAAAACAACGTAAGAGACATAATAAACCAAAATATACCTAAATTATTTAAATAAATATGGGCAGATAGAGGATGATCTGGCTAGTTTCGTTTCAGGTCACAGTACTTTCATCAATGGAAAAACTTTCATTTCGTATGGAAGTATATGGAAAAGAGATTCATAGGTCAATGTCACCAGAAGACGTTGGCTGATTAGCGCTGCGCTGCTACCGTTTGGCATTAATACGACGTTCAGGTTAATGCAGTCCACGAGACATCCTACAACGTTTTGAGAGAAGACGAGTTGAGCTTTCTTTCGTCATAAGACGAGCATCGTCGTCAAGTTTAAATTTATTTTTTGCATTTAAGTATTGTTTCGAGTCTACCAGTAAATCAGTAATATGAGATGTATCCATCCAATTTCGTTTAAGGTGATGAAGGACTGGTAGACGAATTTTCCCACAATGATATGAGTAGAGCTTTCTCAAAAGTTAAAACTAAGTCAGGAAGGCTGACCGGCTTTTTCTACATGATATATATACGCATTGCGGGCAAAAGTTAAGACATAGATGGATATAAAAAGGTTTGGTTAATTCTTGTATATTCTAGTGTGTCTGTGCATGTATGTGTGTCAACGTCTGTATGCAAAATCGGTCATGAATAAAAGTAATTGGATAGAAGCTTTGTCAGCCCTGGAGCATCAAGGCTTATTGGCCCAAGAAAAAAAGGACAAGAAGATGACCAAAATTGCATTCGTCCGTAAGTAACCGTGGTTAACTCGATGATATGTAAGCCTAAGTCGGCTTATGAAACCACCAGTCTGGGATTACGTAGCCCCGCAAGTCTGTTTTGGCTGATGAGCTTGTCATGTCTGTTAAACGAGTGTAAACCTAGAACCATCACTCAGCTGGCAAAATGAGTCATCTTCTTTTGGACGGCGGCTTAATACTCTCTTTCTCTTTACTCAACTTTCCACCACTATTTCTTCCATTCGACTCATTCCCTAATCTATTTATTCAAATAGCCTCTTTTGTCTTTCGTTTCATAGCGAACATACCATAATCAGCAAACCTATATTATATATATTATATAGAAAAAGCAGTCAGTCTTCTTGACTAAGTGTTAACTTGAGGTTTTTCCCAGAACGAGTCCCAGCTCTGACGATGCTCGTCTTCTCCCGAAACGTTGAAGGATGTCTCGTGGACTGCATCAATCTGAACGTCGTATCAATGCCAAACGGTCAAACCTACCAATCTATTCATCATGTATTTACACACAAAATGAAAGACTTCGCAACAAATATGGATAATCGAATTGCTGTCTGTCAGTCAACAATAGTTACACTTGGCATGCCAAACGAACCAGTTCAAGGTGCTTACCTGTGATGGGACGGGGGATCTTCACCGGCGCGGCCTTGAACTCCGTGAATGGACCTACAGACGGCGTAGCCTTATCCTCTGAAATCCTCCTATTCGCCATAGGCCTGGCGACTAAGCAGTAGCCGTCTCTGGCCTCTTTAATGCCCTCCAGACCCGTGGGCGACTGCTGTCGGTTCTGTCTCACGAGGCTGGGCTGACCATCAATCTGGTCATTGTACACTGCTCCGCTGGCTTGGCCTCCTCCACGTGCCTCCCGAACAGCCACTATCTGCCTCTCTCTGTCAGAAAGTTTGCTGTTCTCCACCAGACGCACGAAATCGCCATTTTGGAATGCAAATCGTCCCTTTTGCTGCACCAAGTCGTCGCCATCCTCGTCAACCTTGACTACCGACGCCGGAGGACGATCGTGCGTGGAAGCCTCGACAGTTGAAGATGTCCCCGTACCAAGCGTTGATCTCACACCCTCTCTGGCCTTCTCACTCAGATTGGGCTCCATCAATAGCTCCGAGCGAGTCCATTCGCAGGTAAGCGGCCAAGCCACGTCAACACGTTCGTCAATAGTAGCCGTGGTGACCTGACTTTGGTCTTTCTGAGACAAACCTGAAATCCGAATCTGAGTCTCCATATTCTTCAGACTGAGCATATTAAGCGCAATGGTACTGGTGTTTAGAGAAGCCAATGGGACATTATGGACTTCCGCTGTATCGGCTGATCGGGTTAGGGTAGAATTTTGCATATGAGAACCGAAAGTTTACCCTCGATTATGACAAAAGTGAGGCGTATGTATAAATATATTTAAATATTCAAAGTGTATTCAGCTGTAGTAGGCCGTTGGAATGTCGAATCCAGAACCAGAATAATGATTCCCTAGCCATATTCGAGGTAGAATAAGTACAAATGATACCTAATGAGTCGTGTGTCCGTCTTAGGCTGATTTTCCCCACTTTACAAACCTATGAAAGATGGGAATTCCCCAAAATAAATATTAGCAAAGACTACCTTTTTGTGGCTATCATTAAAAAACAACTAAAGCTTCCGGAATCAGACTGGAGACGACTACATCGGAGATAGTTACCAGGAATGAATTCAAATATCCTGAGCCATTTGTCGAAATGTTAAAGCTGGTGATAACATTCCAACCGTTGTTACCCTTTCCTTAAGAACTAGGCACATTTCCTTGTCTGCGCTCCCTTGATGTCGACAAAAACAATTCACCTTTCTTGTTATTGTACCTCATATTTTCCCGCAAAAGTGCGATGGATGAGATCCGTAAATTGTTGTCTATAGGGGGATAATTCCTGAATCAGAACTTTAGCCATCCCAGTCGGTATAACATAAGTTAATAACTATGCAAAACAAGGTGAGATCGTCGAATGTTGTGGCACAAACATGTTTATTATTTTTTTCGAATCCCGACGGTTATGGGAAATTAAGTAATCAGTTATTACAGCCTCTCCAATGACCTAAATTGATGAAAATTATCGTTCTAAATTGGCCTTGCCGGAAAGCGATGATGGAGGGCTTTGGAGTCGTGACCGTCGATATGCCAGAAAATGTCTTCTACCCAGCGTTCTGTGACTCTGGCGAATCAGGTCCAACCCTGACAGACAATTTGAGAGCATAAAGACATCATTTATGAAGATTCGCTACAATCCCTATAATGGTCTCACTCTCTATAAATGTCTGCCACGGTTGGCGAGGCGAGAGCTCGGTACGGATGGATCGAGATGGCAGGAGGGGGTAGGGCAATATTCACAACTCCACTTCGGTTCCAAGTGAAATTTGTAACAATATGAAGTTTTAAGGGACTCTCTGAAAGCTAGCTTATCTTCAATTCACCTTTTATGTGATGTTCTTTTGACTTCTCGTGTCTTAATCTGGTCGCATGTGAATTGGTCCAGAGATTTCGCTGGTCGCTTCCTTTGTCAATCACCTGCAACACGCTCTTTTGCTGGGCGCAGTTGATGCTCAGGGCAGGCAATGTATCTTCGTCCTCAGAGTCTGTCTGTCTTCGCGCTCTCGAAGCGCTACTTTCTGAGGGATCTGTCTTGACCGACTCCCTGACTCTGCCCAAATGCCCATCTTGCTCCACATTTAGCGCATGGTTCTGCGATGAATCCTTCTCATTCGAGCTCGCTTTTTTCTGCTTCTTCAACACTCTTTCAGAAGTTGCCATTGCCGTTCTCTGAAGAACGCTAGATTCCATCGCGCCTTCTTTACTCGATTCTTTCGCGTCACTATGCTCAGATCGACACGGCTCGCCTCTTCCCTCTCCTTTCGTGTCACTCACTTCTTCTACCATCTCTTCATTTTCTTCATTCGCCTCCTGCTGTTCTCCCTCCCTCTTTTCTCTCCTTTCCTCTTCTTCGTCTTCCTCTCTGATCTGAGAGAGATTGTCGGCCTTGCCGAGAGCTGGGCCCTCAGTTGAGACGATCACCTCCATGAGGACTGACTGACGAGTCTCGGATTTATGTATTTCTCCTGCACAGAGATTTGAGGTATCGGCCCGTGGATGCATCACTGGCTGTAAGATAGATGAAATGCATAATTATTCAAATGCACTATCGAGATGAATGGCCACAAAAATACACAAAACTAATGAAAGGAAAGTCATAAAACTGGCAGAAAAAAATTAATGGTCATAAAAACAATGGTTTTTGCCCATTTCCACTTGCCATTATGCCAGCCGCCTGTGGCAAATATCAAAAAAGATTCGGTCAATACAGACAAATCATCCTCTCTAAATGTAAAAAAATACCAATAGTTAGAAAAACTAGATTTGCACCAATAAAATTATCAACCTGTAGCCAGAAGAAGCTCAAGGCAAAAACGATACGGTATTGCCTCAATTAGTCGCCTAGCTACTTCTGACATTACATTCAAGTGAATATTCATTAAATATCATAGTTCCAATAAATGTAAAAGCATAAAATGCTGAATGGAAGTTGTTTCACCTTGGTTTCGCAACTTGTTTATATTAGCAGGAAGACATAGGAGAACGCACTTTGTCTGGAGTCCATAGTATGCATGATCATTTACAGAGTAGGGCCGTGGACTTGCTTGGTACCAAGACGATTCAAATAAAAATTGTTTTTCATTGTAAGGCAGAAATAAACGCTCAGAAAGTATATAAAAGGTTATAAATTGCAAATAATTTCATCCATAATTAGCA